TCTGAATCCTCGCCACCTGGTCTAAGACGCTTATGGGATTTCCCATGGGCTACTTGGTGAGCTGCTTTGGCCAAAGCTGCCGGAAAGGCTTGAGGATTGTTCGAAGAAGCGGTGGCAGACTGAATACGCCGCAGAGCGACTAACGTCTCCTGATCCAAGTCCAGCGCATCCAGGTCCAGCTCACCCGCAGTCAGACCTATCACGAAGGATTGTGAACGAACGGTAGTTGCTGAACACACGGTGGAAGGAGCAACATCAAGAGCGTACCTTCGACAGCCAGACGAAGTACCTCGGGATCCATCCCTGCCAGACTCACGTGTGCACGGAGGGTACGATTCGCTTGGAGGAGGCGAGTGTTACGGTCTTGCTGGTTCTCGAGGACCTTGAGCGTGTCGTTATCGACATACTTGCCCTGGGCAAGCTTTACCAGAAGGAGGTGGAGCTTCCGGGTCTGCTCAGTATTCGCGCCAATAGAAGACTTGTACACTTCGCGTTCGCGAGCCAGCTTCTTCTGCAACGTGCTGATAAAAACGTCCCGAGCTTGGACTTCGCAGTGAAGACGATTCAAATCCTCTGCGTGTCGCTCCATAGTGGCTTGAACACTTGCGAGCATGGCGTCATTCTTGGCGTTCGACTCGCGGAGAATCTTGATGTTGTGATGTAAAGCTTCAATCTCAGCGTTGGCAGCCTTGAGGAATGTCTCCGCGTTCTCCATCGGTACCTTGCTCATCACCTCGCATTACTCGACTTGTTTCTCAGGAGGGCAAGACCGAGGGTTCGAACGCCCCTCAGTCTGCTGCACTTCCTCCGACAGCAGCGTCATCAACCGGTCCTCCGGCGCCCGCTGCCCCAGACTCTTCACTTCCTGCGGTAGCTCCTGCAGCACTCCCCGTCGTCGCTGAATCCGCGGAGATGGCTCCTGCTGCTCCTCCTGCCCCAGCTGGTGGTCCACCACCACTCACCGAAGATTCGCTGCGCGCCATGCTGGCTGAAAGTACGGAGGCATCGGTCGATCACATGATGACCTCGATAATCCCGTACTTGACTGCAATGGCTCGTCACCAAGTGCAGATCAGCGTTGTGCCTCCTCTCCACGGCGACATACACACTCAGCGTCGTCTCGAGACAGCTATTGGTTTCGATGAGGTCCTCGCTGCGATACATCCTGTTCCTGACGCGCTGTCGGCATTACCAGAACGAATTGCCGACTTGGAGCGTCAGTTGCGGTTTGCTCAGTCCGAGGCTGCTGCCGCCGTACGTTCGGTGGCACCCCACATCATATTCAAGAGAAGGATGGGCTTACGTACCTCCAGCTGCTCACGCTCGCGACGTCAACGAGGATTGAGACGCTGAAACGCGTCGGACACGACTCGATTCAGACGCTTGGACATACGGTGGCGAGATGGTGAATTGAAGAATGAAGAAATGTCACAACGGGCACCAGTACCGTGGCTTCCATTGCGATAGGGGCAGTTGTGGTGTAGTGATTTCTCCGTGGTTGCGGATTATCACCCGTCGACAAAGACGTGACACCGCCCAAGCTGTTCAAGCGACGAACCCTCGGTCGGGTGATGTACGGAGACGCCAAGGTGCAAGGGACTCGACGGCGTCACCTCCGAGTTTTCAACAAATATCGGATACGGCCCTATGTCACTGAATCCAGGCTGTCCTTATTATTAATAATGGACTGGCCGGATTCGCATTCAGCGGACCATCTACGGTACGAACCCTCAGTGGCGGTTGAGATGAGTTCGCGGAATACTCAGCGACCTTTGGAAGACACGTTAACCGTCTGGGACAGGGCGCGGACCGTTAAAGATGCTCATGCGACAGTGCAGACGACGCTTGGCATGCAAGAAGATCCATAACGGATCATTGTTCACTTGATATTTGTATACTTGATTAGGACTTCTTATTAGGAATAGACCCGAAAGGGTAAGCTTAAATACAGAACAGAATTTCCACTCAAGCACACAGAGCGACGTCCGGCTTCAAGGTAAGCGTCAGGTCAAGCTTGTTTGAGTGTGTTATGCCTGTCGGTGAACTCGAAGCTCTGTAGCGAGGGTTCATCCGGCAAGGCCAAGAGACTTTGTGTATTGGCCGATTATTATCGGGAGGTTTTACGTGACGGCTTATTGTTGCCTATTTGCACGACTGGGAGTGCTTGAATTGCCTCCCTTTTATTTCTTCCAGCCGAGTGTTGAACACTCGGTGATCTCGTAAAAGGCTTACCCGTGCCTGATACCCTTCCGCTGTTGGGACCACGAGGATTCAAAACACCTGCTAGCTTTGCTTGAGCGTCAAGCTCTTAGCCGCGGTGACGAGTCTCGATGCAACGGCCAGGATGCGCTCACTTGAGGTCCCTCCCTGGTGTGACGGCGGCACGGAGCCACCAATGGAGCGGTGGAATGAGTCTTCTGCAGCGCCGACGGGCCTATCAACGCCTCCGCTGAGGGTGACCAAGTGGAGTTCTGGTGGTGGATGGGGATGGGGCGTTTCAACAGGCGTGCTAGTAGCGTGTTCTTATTTTACTGGTTGGCCTATATAAGTAGTTTACAAGGTCCAGTTTGTCCCGGTGCAAGGGCAGAACTGGGGTCTTCAGGTCCGCCCGAACGATCGTTTACTATCCTAGTAGACGTATTGTTGTGGGAACATCCTAACTACATCTGTAGCTAGAGTTCACGTGGGATTTCCAACACCACAAAGCACAAAGAGGGCGAGGTGGGGAGACATTTGAGGTTGAGCGCCTTTATGCAAAACGATGGGTCCACACTCTTGAATTCTACTTAGCGCAGTGGGTAAACCATAGAGAGCTAACGTGGGAACCAGCTACAAACTTACATTGGCAACTAAAAATGAATTTTGAGCGAGAAACAATCAACTTCGTGTGGCTATACCAAGCTACCCGCGGACGACGCCGTCGAGCGCCCCCTGCTACCCGACGAAGCTCCAGAACTGTTGTAAGAACGTAGGAAGATATTTAAGTTCGTACGCGAGCTTAATACACACTGTTTCCAGTACTATGAGTTCACTGTTTGGTTCGCAAGAAAACAGTACTTTGTACTGTTTTGTGGAAATTCCTTCCCCCCCCCTTCCGCGCTGAGAGTAGACGACCGAATACCGTTGCGCTTCTTGAAGCTTTAACTTCATCTGTTGCTGAAACGGAGCTGCTTGTCGTCGATACCAAGCCACATCCCGCGCCTTCATGAAGAGTATGTCGTTCATCATTGTAATTGTTGCTTTGTTCTTCAGAAAAAAGTATCCCAACTGCCGCTCAAACTCAGATAGTTTTACACGACGCCGTTTTGTAGCCGACATATTGGCGTATAAAGTAAGAATTGGGTAAGAAGCGCAGTCTAGTAAGCGTAGCACGGCTTACTTTGACCTTAAACGATGAGTGAATCCACTCGTTTAGCATGGAATTGCTGATGGATGGATTTTGCTTGATCTTCAGATGAGCCTTGAGCTTCTGCTCGAGTATCAAGCACATGCGTTGTGTCATAGGGTGTCGCTTCGATGGCTTTGAATAAGAGAGAGCTTGAGTCTGAGGGAAGTGAGTAGAGGGGGATAATCATCCATCAGTCAAAAAGGTCTGGCTCGATTTGGTTACCAAAATGTGCGGTTTTAAGCAGCATTCTTAGTTTATCCAAGTGATCCTTTTGGTTCCTTCTCCATAGAATCGTTCCTCTTTTAAAAGTTGAAATCATCTAAAATAGTCCGCCGATTTTCTTAACTTTTTCATCGATAAGAATACTTAAATATCCTTTTTAATAAAAATAAAAGTTAAGAAATCGGATTTTAGTTTCTCTTTTCTCGAGCACATTTTAGTCAAGAAGTGAGGCTAGAAATGAATTTGCAAGTTTTTTTTCTCTGGGGGTTTCAGTTTATATTCACTTGAATAAAAAAAAAATATCTCCGCATCAGGCGCCCCCTCTCACTTTATTTCACCCAGGCTTTTCACTCTCAGTGAAGACATGCCGCCATCCGACTACAAAAAGCTGAAGACGGAGAAGTCGAGTATTAACTTCCAGTTGGTAATGTTGTATGAGCTGCGCAACATGGACTCACCAAACTCTGACGCCGACGATTCCGACGGCGACTCTTTGCTATCCCAGCTCGTGATGCTCCGCCAGGCCCTGGCGTGTGTACGCTATTCTGTCGCGCGCACGATGGCTCATCGTGCATTGTTGTGTAGCCTTCGCGACGATGAGCTCCGAAAGTTTACTCACTTGAATGTCATAGTGGAAATTATTCGCGACAATCTTTTTTTCGGTCGAAGAGCAACAAGACGAAGCAAAAGCAGCGCGATGTGGCTCTACAGCTAGCCATAACGTAGAAGTGGTAAGGCGCTTACAGGAATGGAAACTCCGTCGCTCACCTTGCTCGAGACTACGCAGCTGGAATGGGTGCAGCTCCAACCTACGTACGGCGCGTACAGAAAGCACTGCTACAGCACTACACAGCTTGTGTGACTTGGCCCACTAGGCAGCAGCAGGCTGTGTCATCTGCATTTCACGGGGGGCGCTTTGGGCTGGTAGAAGGAGTTGTGGGATTTGTGGATGGCACTCACGTCAACTTCTCTCAGAAACCACACATACAAGGCCCACTGCACTACAGCCGAAAATGTCAATACAGTCTGAATTTTCATATCGTTTGCAATGAAGATAAAGTGATTTTGTTAGGATTCACATGCTGGCCAGGAGCTTGCTGTGGCTCGACGGTGTTCGCCAAGGCGCCGATAGCTAAGCTTCGAGAGCAGAACTTTTCGGGTGAAGGGTATATGACTGGTGATACTGGATATGCGCTGAGTACTAGCTTTATCACCCCGCACAAGCTACCAGCAGCGGCAAAAGAAGAAAATGCGTTTTACAACAAAGTCATCTGCACGATGTTTTAATGATAACTGCATTGGGCTGCTCAAGAATCGCTGGGTGTCGCTAAAAGAAATATGCACGCAGATCAAGAAGAAAGCTGATTTCCGCCACGACAACAATCATATTCTAGCCTGCATCCTGCTTCATGACCTCGGTATTGCGCTGGAAGACGAATGGGACGACGACACGCTTGACAAAGAAGATGATGATGACGTCAGGAGCACCTCGAATGTAGGCACGGCAGCGCAGCAGGAACGTGAGCGAGTCAAACGTGCACTGCTTAATAGCTAGGCAAAAAAAACAAGTTTATCAGCGCTTGCACCTCAGCGATCGGTTTTCCACCACGAAACAGCTCCACTACCATTTTTCTGCGATCATCATCCCATTTTTCGCGATGCTTATCCTCGCGCTCTTGGTCACGCTCTTCTCGAGATCTTCTCTGCTCGTGAACATAGACTTCCAACTCTTTAGTTTTGAATTCCATCGCCTCCTTAAACGGTTTGGCTTCAGCATTCCAGCTATCTTTTTTTTCTCTTCCACTCGTCTCGTCTTCTCTGCCTCAACAGCGAGCTCTGAAGCATAGCCCTTCCGCTTAAGCGTGGTCGCTTTGTCCTCTCCTTTCGCCTTAGCGGCAGCTTTAGCCACTGCAACGGACTTTGCCGCTACCCTTGACCTCGACTGGGCAGCTGAAGTAGTCCACTAAGGTGTTTGTCGGCAAATGAAACGAGGGCTAAATTCGTCAAGCTCACGTTGGCGCAATCCTGATGACCGCACTACGTTTCGTTGGCTTTAAAGATCGAGTAGCTCTTAAAACGGTCGTCTACTGGATACCGTTGTTGAAGCGATATTCACAGTCCTAAAAGACGACAGTCCTTCGTGATTGGCGCTGGACATTCCTCTTGGTGGCCAATTGTTCCTGGTCAACGTCACCGTCATCACAGTGAGCGTCTGTGCTTGCATTGACGTGGCTCTCCTAATTGTGGATGACATTGATACGGTGGCCAGTCAATACCTCGGTGCCAAAACTGAGTACGGTTTCATCACTGCCGCTTTCATCGTCTGCAGACGACTAATCCACTTTATGTAGTCAAACTCATGGTCCTCGTCATGCTGAATTTCGGCGCTGCAGCTAGCATATCGCCCGATAGCTATATTATCAGGTAGGGGTACCTCGTCATCGCTGAGATCTGGTACGTGACACTGCGATTCTGGATTTACGTTTGCTTGCTCCGCAAACAGTGCGTCTATCGGCTCGTAGAACGGACACGCCTTCTCGATCATGGCACTAATCGTAACTCCATTCACCAGCATCTCTTCTGTGATTCCAAGCCCCGTGCTACTGCTCTTCCGCTCTCGAGTGGTGTAGCGTTTGAATTGCGACGTCCATCGGCTCTGACAAGTCGTTTTGCCCCACAACACGGCATGACGAGGGTCGTCTCCACCGTATTGCACAGCAAAATCGCGCACGTATTGAGCCATGCTCGCAAAACCCAGCAAGCTTCATGATGCCCGAGCCGTGGGCCATACCCTTCCCAGCGTAGACTCTTCGAGGTAAATAGCGCGGTTGGAGCCCACTTCCATCCACAGAACCATCGCTTCAAGCTAGAGAGGGTTCGTGTGAGCGAATTTGGCGGCCTTCCTGGTCTTCTTCTTTGCCGTTACCTTTTTGGGCACCTTTTTCTGAGACCCCATCACTATTGTATGCTTCGTGCTGGTGGGCGCGGCGGCATGGCGGATCTGTACGGGTGTCCGTCCACAATAAGGGGAAGGTGTGGGATCAGTTTCGGAATGATTTTCAAAAGGAAACTTACGCTTAGGAGCGTTCTTATTTAGATCCTACAGGACAATTGCAGGTTCAAATTAGTTTATTATTGGCTAAAAGGCAGTGGGGATCGAGTAGTCAGCGTCTACGTCCTGTACACGGTCGATGCCAAGAAGGGCAGGTTCTTTGGCCAAGGAGGGAAGACGTGCCAAGCCACTGACACTGTCGTCTTCTCCAGCCCCATCAACAGTAAGTTACGAGTAACACAATCGATCGCTTTGGTGTTTAAGCGCTGCACATCAGCAATTGGACCTTTCATTGTGAGCCAACAGTCACTCATCCCGCCGAGTGCATATCTATTGCGACTGTGAGTAAATCAATTTGGCTTAGATATCGCCCAGCCTCTTCTCGGCTATGATGCAGGCATAGGGTTTGGGGCTGTGTTAATCAGCCTGTCCTGTAGTATCTAAATAAGAGCGCCCCCTTAGGCCGGAAAATTAATAACCCCGCAAAAGTGATAACATGGTTTAGTAATGTAACGGGGTACGTAGCACTAAGTGTACCCTGGTTACATGAAGTGTGACACTTCACACTTCAGGAGTATGACATGTCATACTCCGGGATATTTGGTACAAGGTACCAAGGTCATTCAAAACCAACCATTGGTTAAATGACATTGCATTTCTATAGGTAACTGATAGTTTGTATTAACCACAAACTTAACCTACCTATAAATATACTCAGTTTACAGTCTACCTTATTTAGGTCACTTCGCTCTCTTTAATTAAAGAGGGGACCTGTGAACTGCCGTTCACTGAGAGTTTGTATACTCTCGGAAGATAACTTCCTCTAGCGCAAGGTGCTGTGTGACCCCGTCACACTTGGTAGCACTTGTAGTCAATCCACGCCATCGCGGGTAGACTACCTGAACCTCCGAAGTTCGTTGCCATGGATAGGAACGACTTCTCCCATATGAACGACTCTCAGTTCGAGTCGGTTCGGAAGATGGCAGGCATCTTCGGGATGGAGGCCCTGCAGAGCCTGGTGGTATCAACACCGGCTGAGCAGCTCGAGCGCGTCAATGCATTCGACGCGTACGAGCAGGGCCTCATCGCGCATGTGCGGGAGAACCTGCAGGCTCCGGCGGCGGAAGCAAACCCGCCTCACCCGAAGCCAATACGGCTGAAGGTAAAGCCGTATGAAGGGAAGGAAGGCGAGAACCTTCACTTCTGGGTCCGAGAAGTAGAGCTCGCGATGGACGCGGCTCTGATCTCGACCGAGCAACTGCGTGTTGCTTTTGCACTCTCCAACCTTAGCGGTCGTGCTAAGAGTTGGGTGTACACTCGGGAAGCGACATCCCCTGGATGTTTCACATCCTGGGCTCAGCTGTGCCAACAGCTCCGAGCCGCGTTCCTCCCGGCGAACTACGAGTACCGCCAGCGTTCGCGCTTCCTCGCGTGTAAACAAGGAAGACGCGAACTGCACGAGTATGTGCAAGAGATACGGGAGCTCACGGCGTCCCTAGTGGGAAACCCACTCAATGAACACATCAAGATGACTGTGTTCATGGACGGCCTTCGAGTGGGCCCCGCACGCACTCAGCTGTTCCGGGTGCAGGCAAGCACCCTTGAAGAGGCGATTCAAGTGGCTCTTCAAGAAGAGTACAGCCATCGCCAGGCGCGTACGCCGGCCTCAGCGTGACCTGGGAGTTCCTTGTCGGCTCCCGGTCGAACAAGCCCCAACGGACCAGTTCCCATGGAACTCGGGTCCGCCGAACAGCGTGACATCCGCTGCTTCGGCTGTGGGAAGATGGGCCACTTCAAGCGCGACTGTCCCGCGGAAAGACTCCGCAGACGGTCCTTCCCCAAGCCCGTCCTCAAGGGTCGCTGGCAGAAGCCAGGATCCCGGGGACAGGGGAACGCAGGGAACCAGTAGGGGCGGGGCGCCCTACTGGGGAAGAACTAAGTCTTCGTGATGGGTGCGCGGGTGGCGCGTACCACGGGGACTTAGCCCCTGAGAGTCTTCGCACTCTCGAATCGGCGAAGAGCAGCGGCGGGTTGCTCGTAGTACACGGATGTGTACGGGGGTACGATCACCCCTTTAGAATCTTGATTGACTCTGGGGCGTCGAAGAATTTCGCACGCCGCCAGACGGTTGCTCGTAACAGCAACAAGTTGTCCGAAGCTTTGCGAGAAAGCAAGGGCAACGGGACGGTGTCAGTGCGACTGGCCGACGGGAAGGTCGTCACTGTCCCCAACGTCCAAGTGGATCTGGCTGTCAAGTTTGAAGACTTTGACAGCCTCGAACAGTTCACTGTTCTCGATATGGATCCATATGATATGATCCTGGGCATGCCCTGGCTTGAGAAGCACGAGCCCTGGATCGACTGGCGAGGCAAGGCAATCGGTGCCAGCCGCCCTGCGCAGTCCGACAGAGCATTGGTGAGTCATGTTCCCACCTCTGTCAGGACCCGGGGCGCCCGCGAGGGCTGCCAGGGTACCAAAGCATCCGGCAGATGCTTGGGAGTCGTCGACGTATATGACGACTCCGAGGATGTTTTGATGGTGGCGCAGCCCAGAAGAGGCGCCGGCCAAGTGGGTAACTTAGGTCCACAGGCGGGTAACTTAGTTCCGCAGACAGCTGCAGCTGTCATGAACACTGAGAACAGCGTGTTCAGAGTGGGTAACAGAGTTCCACTCACGGTCGCCCAGACCATAACTGAAGAGGAAGACGTCGGATACGCTTCCTGTGTGGGTAACACAGTGCCACACGCGGTCGCCCAGACCTTAACTGAAGAGGAAGGCGTTGAACACGCTTCCTGTGTGGGTACAACAGTACCACACGAGGCCACGAGTGCCTCGGATGTCGTAGCGACGAC